TTTGACATCTTTGATACAAGTAACGAGTTCACTTCCAAGTGAACAACCCGATAGTCTTCTTCTTATCATAGCATACCAACCAGCGAACACCCAGCCAAGTTTAGTTAGCCAGTTTGAGTATTCGTTACACTAAAACCGTAGGTACGAAGAAATCAAACTAAAGAGAGAAGAGAATCTGAAAGGAGCGAAGTTATTTAAGTTGTTCCAATGCCAAGTCTCGTCACGTGCTTGGCCAAGCGAATGAAATCCTGTCAAATGAAATCCAGCTCCGTCACATATATATTTATATATTTAAACCTTCTACTTTATAAGCTTATTTAATAAGACTAACTTATAAGCTATAAATATATTATTGAATAAATTAGGTATACTAATTAGAAAGTTTTATAACTTAAAATAATAATAAATATAAACTATTAAGTTATACCTATATATAATATATATAATATCTATCCCTTCCATATAACAAAGGGGCTAGAAAAACGTGCACCAAAAATGGAGACAAGTGGACAGGAGAACTAGGTTAAATCAAGGCTCAAATGCTTGGAAACGTGACCTGGTTAGCTAAATGACTTGGTTATACAGAGAAAATGTGGTCAAAGTAGATTTTACCCCACTTAGAAGTGCACTTTTTTTCGGCCCCTTTGTCGTATGGAAGAGATAGTAACCCTAACTCCTATTAAATATAGTAGATATATAATCGTAAGTCCTATATATAATTAATTCCAAGTTGTTGTTAATCTATAGAGTCCCCTTTATACTTACGTAAACAGCTTATAAGAGAGTGGATCGTTTATCTTTTCATTTTTTTTAAGTTCGTATTTTATACTATTTTTACTACGAAACCTCCCTCTATATACTAAAGTTTTACTAAATCTAAAATATTATACGTATATAGTACTATAATACTATTATTATATAGTACTATAATACTATTATTATATAACTCTTAAAATACTACCTAAACTTAAGGTAAACACTTTATATTATTTCTACTCTACTACGCTATAAACTTTATGTTGGTACGACCTGGTTGTCGTAAAGGGTGATACACAAACATAATCTCTCTTTGTATTCATTCGTGTATGAAGAGTAAAGGTAAAGAGAGGTGGTACCCTACAAGCTTAAGTATATGAGTGGCAAGCCACTCACATGACCTAAAGCATATAGATCCACCAGGCTCTCGTACAAGGTGCTATTCACCAGAATTATATACCGACACTGGGCCTACTTTAAAGTGGCCGAAAAGCAGTAAAGACTGTAAGAAGTAAAAGAGAAGAAACACCCTTTCCATCTGATCAATCACGTCCCTCTGTTCATATAACCCTTCCTCACTCAAGTGTACGTTCAACCCATTCAGTGACCTTAATATCAAGCTTGTTTGTATCAATTAGGTTACGTAGAGCAGGACAAGCCTTGGGCTTTGTCATAGCGAGCCACTCACATGACCTAAAGCATATAGATCCACCAGGCTCTCGTACAAGGTGCTATTCACCAGAATTATATACCGACACTGGGCCTACTTTAAAGTGGCCGAAAAGCAGTAAAGACTGTAAGAAGTAAAAGAGAAGAAACACCCTTTCCATCTGATCAATCACGTCCCTCTGTTCATATAACCCTTCCTCACTCAAGTGTACGTTCAACCCATTCAGTGACCTTAATATCAAGCTTGTTTGTATCAATTAGGTTACGTAGAGCAGGACAAGCCTTGGGCTTTGTCATAGCGTCCGCTGGGTTGCTATTGCCATCAATCCACTTGATCTCGCTGATCTCGCGTTGCTCATACGCTTGCCGTAGACACATTACGTCTATCATAAGACACTTCTCCTTAGTAGTCCCAAGTTTGACTAGACACTCGTAAAGTGACTTTGAGTCAGTGCAAACTGTGAGGGGTATCTTAAGACTAAGAATAGCTTCTAAAGTATAATGATAAAGTTTATTTACTTAATTTATTTAGTAGATTTAAAGTTACAAAGTTATTAGGTAAGAAAGTTAAGTAAGATCGCGAAGTATACTTTTTATACCTAAAATTACCCGAAACTTGCCTAGAAGAATAGTAAACTTAGGAATATTAACCTTATATAATATATATATATATATTGTTCTTAAGTAGGCAAAAGGGGTGGTTTTAGTAGAGGTTGTTTTATATAGTAGCAGTGGCACCCAACTGTGATTGTTATGTTCAGGTGCATATAATAAACGTATTGATTAACTTTACACAAACCTGTGAACCTTCCGGTACATGACACCCAACCATTCAATACTTGAGCAGATTTTGTCAACCAGATATTCATTGGCGGTTCTATACAAATTTCTCGCTTTGATATCTACTTCTCTGCGTCGTTCAAGTTTGCTTCATGGCTTGAGCCTGCATAGAAAGTTTGCGCAGCAGATCATCGTAACTCAAGGCAATATTTCGCAGCTCAGAAAATAATGTTTTGATTTTGAAGTTTGTGAGAAATCAATGCAAAGCAGACTGGCGCTAGTGGACAAGATGAGGATTTTATTGAAGTTTCCGAGACTCCTTTATCGCCCATAGTTGACAAAGGTAGAGCGCGTACTCTGATCCAAATCTATATGTGGAGTCCTGACCGCAGCTCTGGTTTTGAATGAAGGGCAAGAAAAGGTAGGGCTGTGGAGCCGCGCAAGAGAGAATCAACGTAGTTACTTCGCACTATTCGACACCATCGACTAGGTGGTTTCTGTAAATAGTAGCACTCACTTTGGGAGATGGCTTGATGGCTTAGGCCTCAGGAAAGCGATCGCGATGTATCATAGTACTGAGACAAAATACTCTCATATTCAGAAGCTTCATTTTTGGGGAAGGCGTGGGGTCGATCTGGAAACGTATTGTTGTAGCCTCGTTTATCATGATTTTGTACAACTTGACCCAGCTCCTTTTCCAGGTTTCACACTTGGAGGAAGGTACATCACAGCCTCATTTTCTATTCCCATTCTTTCCTGTTTGAGACATTTGAAGAGGTTGGGATTACTCATGTGATAGAGCGGCGGTTGTTTGGATCTTGATGTCAGTCGTTTCCATGGAAACTTATGATGTTGATAAAGGTAGACATGGGAAAAGTGCGCTAAGACCCCACCAAGCGATGCAATTCCATTGTTCTCTTTCATTCACCCACCACTGGCTCAAGTCTCGAAGGTGAATTTAACCAGGAAGGCTGGGTCGCTAATTAGCTTTCCCGCCTCCTCATTTCCGAGTTTTCGAGTCTTGACTTGACTTTTAACTCCTGCCTCACGCCCAAAAAATTCACACTCATCGAAACACAAATCTCTGCGCCCCCGCAATCCTCCTTTGAACCCAAACACCTTATACTTTTCTGCAAGCTCAAGCTCCCTCTTTAATACACGGGAAGCAGTCGTCGCAATGAATCCAATGAATTCCGCGCACCCTATCTAAAACATCATGTTGGGCGCGCTGCTGCTGGTCGTACCAGAAGCAGACCGAACCCAATTCTTGCAGCTCTGGACCCACCACACTCAACTGCTCAAGCAAGACAAATTCATCTTCTTCCTCACGGAAGGTATAGTCGCGGCGATGGAGGGCTCGGGCAAGAGTTTGCAAGCCACCGCTGACAAGTTAAGGTGAGTCTTTTGGCTCTGAACTTCATAACAGTTGCTAACAATATCGCAAGCATACTTCTACATGAAGAGATCTATGTTAACTATGACACTGATGCAAAGCATTACCGTTTGGGTCCGATCAAAGATCAATACGACTTTGCAACCACATCAGGAAGCCTTATGGTGTACTACAAGGAGAAATGCCCGCTTCAAGCCGCAATGCCCATCACCACTATGCTCATCATCAACCCGACATCTGTCTAAGTAATCCAACGGGAGGTTTTGCGCTCATTGCCCACTGTTCCCAACAACGCCAGTCATAAGACATCTGATAATACTGTAAGTGCCACCAGCAAAGCTGTCAAGATTCCGAAGCCCGTAAACGCCTGGATTCTCTATCGCCAGTCCAAAAACCGCATGATTGCTGATAAAAACCCGGGAGCACATACCAGCGATATTTGTAAGTTCTAAAACCTATTTACTGTTTTCTTTAGCTGATAATTATAAGCAATTATCATCGTAGGTATATGGAAGCAAGAAAGCATATAAGTCAAGAACTTCTAGCATCGTAAGGCTGCCTACGAAAAGGCTATGCACGCCCTTCGTTACCCTAATTACAGAGTCCGCCCTCGCAGATCCTCGTAGATCAGAAGACGCGCCAGAAAGGTCACTGAAGTACGAATTAACGGTCCCATGGTTTCCTCGATGCCAGCTGCTCCAACTGAAGTACAAATCAACGGCCACTTGGTTTCACCAATTACGTCGGCTCCTCAAAACGAAGAAGATAACGATTTCACATTGCTTTCATCCACTGCACCAGCTCATCTGGATCAAGGAGGCAATAACATCGACGCTCTCTTGTCACTCGGCCCAGTCTACCAAAATGACATGGAAAACATCATGGCGGATATGAGCAAGGCAGCTGATGATATACAATTCAACTTTAACCTTGAGTTTAAGCGCTTTGATAACGAGTTCAACTACCTTTTCTAATTCGAAATCCTGCGAGGCTCTTTGCAAACATAATGAACGGCATCACCAACGTCCACACAGCTGTTCTGTCTTCTGCACCTTATTGGGGCCTAGGTTTATCGGCATGGCCTTGATAGATCGCAGCTTAACATTGGCTCAAAGCTGACGGTATAAAGTCTTTTTCCTCATTACTAGTGGTCTTGGTTATGTTTTCTCGTTTTTATAAGAGGAGGCAATATTTCATTATCGCGGTGTCCTTGAGCGGCTCTATACAATAATCATTTGCTGACGTTCTATTTTCAAAGTTTCCTGTTTCGTTGATTTGAAAACCGTTACTCAGCCCTTCTCGTCACAGAAATGTTTCCGCTCGGTTCCTCAAACACATCACAAGCATGACATTAAGTCGATGGTCAAATTAAAAGCTTGTTTCATCGAAGCCTTCCTAGACAGAGTTGCCGTTTTTTGAAAGTGTGATTTAGCTCATATGGTTGTGGCCTGTCAAGTCATGGAATTCCTCGAGAGCGACGGTGGTTGCTCTGGTGACACGTCCTCGTCGTCCTAACGAAGGTGAATTGTTGTGGCTGGTTCTGTAAATGGGAGGTTGGATAAATAACGAGGCTGCTTTTGGCGGAGATTTCGAGACGCTCATAGTGAATCATCCGCCGCCTTATCCAAAGTGGAAGACAAAGAAATTGTGTGGCTGTAGCCTCGAAAGCTCGCTTCCTTGAACCCAAAACCTCGAGAGAATATTTGACTACAACCTCAGCGTCGCAATCCACATTCATCACACAAAAAATCCTTCAACCCTCTCTGCCCTCTAAGATACCATTCCTGCGTTCGCGTTACGGTACTACGATCCAGAGATTCGTACCCCAATCCTCTTCAACTCAACTGCGTCTCATCAAATTCGAAGACGTCCCGCAACCATGTCAACATCCGCGGTCGACACCGGAGAACTCCCTCTTCCAGCCATGAGCAACCAAGCATCGGGTTCCTGGTTCATCTTGCGCCTTCAACTCACTCCCTCTAACTGCCTCATCGCCATTCCAAACTTCGAGTTTGAGAACTGGGGTCCGGAAGATAAATTTGCCATCCTCGCCGCTTTCAGGTATGTATCTACATGACTATCAAATTCTAAAGCTGACGATCGCCCCCTAGCAACATGACTGGTGCCCATGGAATCTACGTCAGAGACTATGCCCAACCCCGCACATTCCTTGGACCGGTTCAATTTTTTGTCCTGTATGCCGATGATGGTGTTGCTCTCCTCCTGCCACCACCAGTCAGCGATCTCTCTGCCCTCCCTCCATTCCCGGATCAAATCATCATGACTAACAACATTGTTGCCCCCGCCGATAATGACACCGAGCCTACCTCTGACAACACTCCATACCTGAGAGTTCCTCGTCCCCCAAATGCCTTCATCTTGTATCGCAAGCACCACCATGCAAGCATTGTTGCTCAAAACCCATCTGTCCACAACAATAAGATCTGTAAGTAGACTATCCTGATTAACGTTTCTTCTGCTGATACCGAGAAGCTCAGATCATTGGCAAGATGTGGAGCGAGGAAACTGACGAGGTCACCAACTACTTCAAAGCTCAGGCCGACCAAGCCAAGGTAGAACATGCCATCAAGTATCCGAACTACCAGTATCAGCCTCGCAAACCCTCTGAGAAGAAACGACGCATGACAAAGAAGAAGGCAGCAACTTTGGCAGCTAATGCTACTGAAGCCATGACCTCTTCGCACAAATATTCAGAGTCCTCCGGAGCCGACCTCACTCAATCTTCTCTGCCACTTAACAGAAAGACCAAGAATCGAGTTGTCAAGCAAACTAAGACAGCAAACAACATCGCTGCAATTGCTCAAGCAATTGAAACCCGCTTTGACATCGCAGAAAATGTCAACGTTCGGGTTGTCAACAATCTCGCCAGTGATTCCTTCGAGCTTCCAGATGTCATTGGTGTCAACGACTTTGATACTGCCGTTAATGCCAACGGATTTGATACTACTCAATTCGACAACATTGGCTACTCTGGACGTGCTGGATCTTCGGACAATATCAACACCCTCTTCTTCCCAGCTAACGACGAGGTCCTCAGTCGCGATCGTGCTGATGGTTGGCTCTTGTTCGCGCAGTCCCAAGGCTGGATCTGAGGTAACGGAATACTCCCATGTACTCATCTAGATACTTGCGAAATCGTTTCATGAGAGTGGCGTCCATTCATTGTATCTCAGAAGATGCTCAATGTTAATAGTATAAAGGTTTTCCTACATTCCCGGCGGTTTCGGTGGTGTTTTCCCCATGTTTATAAGAGGAGGAAACATTATATAATCGCGATATCCTTAAGCAGCTTTGTATACCACCTGCTTTTTATTTTCGTCTCTTGAGGGCTGTATACAATGATCATTTGCTGACGTGGTTTCTCGCCCAGGCCTAAGAGGCGTCATAAGCATTCATCACATTGTCGTCGTACGCTTGAGGAAATAAAGACGCAAGTTGAAGAAACGAAAATGCAGACACAAAATTTGTATTTCGAGTTCTTCTTCTCAAGCACGACAAGGCGGTTTAATTGGTTTGTTCTAGGAGTTAGTTAGTACTAGTGGCAACGATACCCGTAATAAAATTCAATGAATGTATTAAAACACCAAGCTTCCCGATTTCCCTAGTTTAATACCTTGGTATGCCCGGGAAGATATGATGATGTGATGAAGCTTTTGAAAAAATAGAAAATTGTTTCCGACTTGTTTACATTGGGCGGCGCCGAAGCATTTATGAGGGGGAATCGCAAAATGACATTCGTCCTTTCTGTGGCTCCGTTCGAACACCTTCGTCCTTCAACGCAGCGGAAGATCAATAGCCATTTGACCAGAAAAAAATGCAATTGTAGATAATTCTATGATAAAAAACGAATGTTTTGAGCCATCAATTGTGTGCTATCAAAATCTTACGGGCCCATATCCTTAGAACCATGCAATTCAGTTCCGACGTTCATAGCTCTGTTTGTGACTAGCAGCTGCGATACCAAGGCACAGGACCTAAACATTTATGCTGTAACCCGCAAGTAGACATTGAGCCTAGACGAGTCATTATTGCTGAGGGGAATTGAACCGGGATTGGAAAGACTAAGTGAACATTTACAAATATGGTGTTCATGGTGAGGATGGTGAGGCAATTCCAACCGGGCGATGGGATATTGTCTTACCTGAAAAGACACGAAATACTGGTGCGATGGCCGTCATCATTGTTCAGCTTCTCATCATTTTCTGTTGCCCATCCAATCACTACTCCAGATGAATGTTCCACATCGCCATTCTGTATTTTTCTCCTTCTGACCAGAGGGACCTAAGGGTTTTGCGCACATGTAGAAAGACCTGCCACAATTCAGGCCTGCCTTTTTAGTAAGGTAACTTATACATGGTTCTCCATGTTCACAGAGGGGCGGCTGCCGTTTCCCCAATATTTTGGACCAACCTTCTTTGCTAGCGGTAGAGTCAATCACATAATCTTGCTCACTTGGTGTAATGTGTACGACATCGGCCGCTCTTGCGTTGGGGGCAGATGGTTCAGGGTTCGAATCACATAATTGTGAGGCTTCTTGATCGATTGCGTTCAAAGTTTCCGGTTTGAAGAAACCTATGATGCTGCTTTGAGTTTTTCCGGGTTGCCCCTTTCCTCTTGGCATCGTTCTTTTCGCAAACTCTCCGATTTTGTTACGTTTTTGGGGAGGCGTCGAAATCCCGTTGGCCACTGTTGGCCGCTTGGGTGGGTGGTTAGGTCGACTTATTGCGAGACTGACTTCCTTTGGGGTCTGCGGTGGTCTGGGGGCTACATCGTTTGGCTTTTCGAGGTTGTCACTGACGGAGGGTAAGATGCTTCTCTCTTGAAGCGGTTCTTGTATTGTGTGCAATCCCGAAGCTTCGATTTCCGATGAACAGCTGCCTATTTTTGGTTGGCGTGATCTTTGGGAAAACATATCACGGATGCTCTGCCGACGGTCAAACTCTGGTATCAGCCTCCCTGAGAGCGGCAGTAGATCCTTCGTACACCATTCCCTTTGCCGAATCCCTCCTGTGAACATTCCCGCGCTGAAAATGTCTCTCACGTCAACCTCGGAACCGTTAATCTCCACCTTCTCTTTCAGAATGGCATATACCGGACAATGATCCGAGCCCATCAAGCCCTCTTGAATATTAGACTCCCGGAACCAATTATAGCAGTCAAGGCTACAGAGAACATAGTCAATCCGAGAACCAAAATTTCCTGGTCGAGCATTCTTTTTCGTATCCCAACAGGTGAACATCCCTTCACGGTTTGGGTGAAACGCTCGGCAAATGTCCCACATAATGGCCGGATCTTCCTCGTCATCTTTCTGCCCGATTACTCTACCGCCGACAAGCAGCTGGTTTAACATACGCATTGCTGGGGTCGACAAGTATTCTTCGCCCGTCATGCCGTGTTTCTTTAGTTGCTCGTCCCCATACGCAGTATCCATCTTCTCGCGGATAATGTTCAAGTCGCCCGTCAAGAAGACTCGCTTGCCCATTGCCACAAGATTCCTCACCCGAGCATCGAGGGCATCCAGGAAGCCAATGCGGAACTCCTCGCGGCTCTCGTCACGATTGGCAGGGCAGTAGACACCAATGAGCACCAGCGCGGGGAATTCGAGGATAACACAGCGGCCTTCGGAATCAAGCGCAGCAGCATCAAGGGAGAAGTTAGATAGCTGAGCAGCAGTAGGGTAGCCCCCAACCTGTTGGTCTTCTGGGAGGCTACAGAAACTTGTTGAGGAGTTGGGAGGGGTGAGGATTCCTGTGATCCCTTCCTCAGCACGAATAGGAGCACAGGCCGAGTTTCGTGTGTAGATTGCCACTCCGGAATAACCTAGAGAGTTCGTGAGCTGCTATACGAGACTGAGTAGGTTGCGGAGACGCGTGAGCTTGAGCTTTCCTCACCTTTTTTGTGCTTGGGGAGACTGAAAAACACATCCCATCCCGGAACGAGGACCATGTCATCTCGGAGGTCTTTACGCTGAATCTTTGTTTCTTGCATGACCACAATATCCGCTTCCAGAATATCAAACATAGCCTGGAGTAGTTAGCACTTCTCCTTCAATAACTCGGGGCCCGGCTTCGGCTTCAGCTTCGGCTTTGGCTGCACTTGAGGTGGTTTAGGTGCAGGTATGGATATAGATGTAGGTATAGATATGGGGCTTACCCCAAATTTCTTTTCTCGGCTCCATGGTTGGTAGGAGAAGGGGTTTCTGATGACGATTCAGCGCGAGGGACTCCATGTAGCCACATTGAACATAAATACCTGATCCCGTTCACTATTACCCATCAGCACTGCAATGCAATCTACTCCGTAGCAGAGTTGGCGGGGGACTACTTGAACTCACCGTTCCAAGTTGTGATGCGGAGACCACCCGACGTCCGCGGTTCACACTGCGACTGCGCATTCTCCATGGCCGTAGCCATACTGAAAGCGACACTGACTTTGATTGCCACGCAAATACCACGCACTCGTGGTGTACCAATGTGAAAGACTCCAGCTGGACAGGAACCTCAAGAGGAGGTGACCAGGTGACCAGGCCAAGCGGAACCACCCGACCCTACTTAATTGAATTCTCTCTACGACAGGCACGCACTTGATCACTGAGGGCCTCGAGGTCGAGTCCATTTGCATGGATTGGGGGGTGATGGATCGCCCCTTCCCTGGGCCCTTCAATCATGGTCACATGATCAGCCTGGCGTTCACAGGTGTATTACATAAGCACCGCTGGCTTGGCAATCGGGACTTCCATCCAGAACGTAGGGACGACATCACTAGCAGAACCTCAATTGAACCACACCATCAACACCATGTTTCCCCCACGCACCATCCTCCGCAGCACCCAACGCTTCGCTGCAAACCTTCGCTCGCCCGCTGTCCGCAAGCCCTTTCAACGTCGTTTTGCGAGCGCTGAGAACTCCGGTCTTCACGGCGCCGAGGACAATGCTTTCAACCGCGAAAGAAAGGCCGTCAAGGATCACGCTGCTGCTACGTCTGGTATGCAGCTCTGCGAATGAAAACAGACATTCAACAATCAAAGGCTGACGTGCTGGCAGATCTATGGCGCAAACTCTCCATCTAGTAACATCGCAAAACCCCGTGTTTGGAAAAGCTAGCATCGGGACTGACTGGCATACAGTGCAACAATTCCTTGCTTGATTATCGCAAGTGCCAATGCCTATGTGCTATGGAATGAACATTGGGCCCACTGGGCTCATATGCCACCTTTGGAAGAACGACCAGAATACCCCTACCAAAACCTAAGAATCAAGAACTTTTTCTGGGGTGACGGAGACAAGGTGAGTCGCTAACTTTCAAACATCGAGATCAAAACCAAAAACTCACTAATTTGTGAATAGACTCTCTTGTAAGCACATTTCCATGATGAAAGATTCGACATGTGCCGTCTCTACTTGGAAGATTGGGCAATGGCAGCATATCCAAGGTTAAGCTAATGTATCACAGCTGGAACGATAAGGTCAACTACCATAAGAAGGACGAGTGAGATGGAGTAGTGTATCGATGGGGGCCGTTATGATGCGCATTGGGATTGGGGGACGTCGGTAGATTCGGATGACTGTACATTTTTCTTTCGAATCCTATCCATATCAGAGCTTGAATGACTTTTGCGTGGTGCATATTCTCATACTTCACAGTTTCATTATGAACTCAAAGCGAGCCTTACTTGACTGGAGCTTCATATAACACAGTGTTCAGGAAAGAGTGGAACACTCCTATCTAGCTGGTATGGAGAGTACATTGTTTGTACATTGAGGGTATCATAGAATTACTTTTACAACTATCTTCGTTCCCCCGCCGCATCCATTTTCAAGTCCAAGTAAGCACTTGCGTAATCGTTAGCTAGCACCTTCTCTCCTACTACTCTCATGATTGTCGCCTTTTTTGCCATTATTTCGCTCTGTCCACAGATGTCGGTCACGGCAGAGTATTCATTAAAGGCCCTGTCGAGGTATTCTAGCGCCATGGTAAGGTTGTGTTTTCTCACCAGACTAGCACCCTCTGCTTTACCAGCCATACCCATGTGCGAATCGACTAAAAATGAGTATAGTTGAGCGTTCAATGAGCAATTCTCACATTCCAGTGCTCGTGGTATTATAGCAACGAGAATTGAGCAGGCCGCTCGGTACTCCGTGAGGGAGTTCAAGATGTTTGCGATTGCCCCCATCGCAGCCCAGAGGGCAGGGATGAGCCGGGTTCTCCAAGCTATGCTCGCTGCGCGAATTGCTACCGAAAATCCCTTTTCAGGGCGCCCAGAATTTGCATGCAGTAATGCTTTGACGCAGAGAAGTTTAACCCGTAAGTTTATATCATCCCCAGCCTCTTTCATCGCTAACGCCATTTGCTCGACCTTAGCCAGCGCGTATGAGAAATCAGTGCGTCGGATCAAGTAATCAATATGGAGGCTATTGATCTCGAAACCAAGATCTGGATCGGATTCGGATCCGTTGAACTGCAATAGTTGCGAAAGCAGTTGCTCTGCTCCATCTAAATTGTTCCTGTGGAGGTCCGACTTCAGACGAAGAATCCCACGATATTCTAGCCAGTATTGGTTAGCTTTCCACGATCTCAAGCAATTTTCGTCCAAACTATCTAGCTTTTCCATAGCGTCATTGTAACGCCCCTTCTCCGTCAAAAGGTGTGCTATGCGGCACGTAAACCTTAGCGAGTCATCAAAGAGTGCATAACGTGCGTGGCAGCTCAAGAATATTTCGCAGTACTGTCTTGATAGATTGGCTACACCCAATCGACCCCATAATGAAGAGTTCATAGCCATCTGGGGTCCCATCATGCTCTTCATGTTTTTTTCCACAATGAGTAATGAGCTCTTTAAAATGTTCTCGAACGATGTCGCAATGCTTTCTCCACTTGACATTCCCAATTTCGCCTCACTCAACAAAGAGGAGCTCCACAGTGTCCACATGCCTGTCTCTTTAGCTTTGATGCGAAGAAATGCGAGGCCTTCTCTTTCGACCCCGAGCATATTGGATGATTCAGAGCCACGTATCGTTTTCGGATGAGCTTTTCCAAAATGATACAGCCAATTCAAAGCGAAATTGAGACATGCCATATCCTTGTTTTCTCTTGCAGTTGACACTGTCTCCAGCATTGCAGCAACAGCTTCATCGAAGCAACCAAAATCGGCCTGCAGAACTGCGAGATTCATAAGCGCATATTGATAGAATAAGCGGTCTCGATTCTGCATGGTATAATCGAAATATCGATGAAGGGTGTCAAAAGATGTGGGATAGTCGCCGGCTCTCCAAGCATCTAGAAAACTGCATTTACGTCAATGATGTCCACGACAAGAACGTGACTTGGTACGCACTTCAGATAATGTGACAGGCTTGGAACCATAATGCTGTCTTCAAGAACTTTTCTAAAGCTCTCCTTGATATCAAAAGGAATTCTGTTGCCAAATTCTGATACGGGCGGCGAGTTAGCAACCACGTATTCGGAGCAGTGGATGAAAGTAACGCTTACTTTGCATTTGTTCAACCTGAAATTCAAGTAGCTTTTCTACGTCATCAGTACTCACGCAGCCTTCTTGGTGGCTGGTCATATCAATACCATACGCAACTGTCTCTAACATCTCGGTTGCGTCGACTCCCCAAACCCTCTCTCCATCCTCGAGTGCTTTGTCGCCTGCCCACCTTCCCAATTGACCAACCTTCCTTGAATAGTATCTTTGTGTTCCTTGGCGCCATTTGCAGAATGTTATCCACAATGTTAGCGCATCGCTAAATCGGAGTCGTTCGAATTCAACCTTGGATCTGCGGACGAAGCTGCCGAAGGGCGAAGTCCGCGAGAGGAATATCATATTTCCATCGGGTGGAGGTATGCCCATTTCGCCATCTCGTTTGTTTTCTTCGTTCGTCTGCGCCAACAAATTCGTTCGCTTTTCGAAGAAGTCATGTAGCGCATTGAGACTATCAATTTTCCACAGCTTATGGAGGAATTGGTCCCACAAGGTCCGACCCGGAAACCCCGAGGCGGCTGGGTAGGCGGAGAGCAAGGTTTCGTACGTCTCCAAAGTGAGAATGAAGGGCAGAGAGGGTTGTGAGGCCGAGAGCTGAGGCCGACTGGTTTTGGCGGTTGAGGGGAGAAGCTGGTTGAGAACAAAAGAGAGGATAGGGATTATGGATGCCGTGGGGACCACATCTTGGGTGTAGAGTTCTATCAAGGCCAGCAGACCAATTTTGGAGGGAGTCAGGAAGCGAGTCATTCTCGCCAGAGTACTTTGCGTCTCAGATGTGAGAGGGATACGGTCGTATCTCCATGCTCATACGTCAAACCGCAGTGGTTGTCGGACTAATGCAGCTTTGCGCAAGTTGTAAGATATCGGTACCTGGGTTAGTCGAGGCGGTAGTTGGGTAGTTACCTAGGATACGGCAGTTACGGTGGTGGTTTGACGCAGGTGTGACGCGCCGTGAAATAATCCCGAGGTCGGCGGGACTCGGGCCGCTAAGCGGTCACCCGTGCCGGCTCTGAAAGATTTATGATATCAGAAGAGCTGCATGGAAAAAAGCAATATAAAAATTGGTCGGGCAAGAATTATTCTGGTCGAATTCTAGGTACAATACTCGGTGTCAACCCTCTTCTCACCTGCTCCATTTGATCTTCTCCCCGTGCTTGTCCTTCAAGCTCCCTTCTTCGGTCCGTCCGTCCTCCTTCAAATCCTCTTCCCTCAAGAAATTGGTCGCCCAAACCCTCTCGACGCACAGCTCAAACTTGCCTGGTACCCGGTCAATGAGCCCTATGCCGATGGTCCTGACCTTCTGCTTCAATATTTCCCTTTGCGGCTCAACTACTACGCCATGGTTGGTGCGTACAAACTCACTCCATTTGATCAATACCGTCTCCCACTCCCCCGAACGTCGAGCGTAAAGCCTGTGCTGGTGGATATCCGTGGGAACTATCGATTCTGTCTGGATATTTACAAAGTATTTCCGCCCGTCGGACTTTATCCGCAGTGCGAGGAATGCGTAGACATCCACGTTCCAAAGCGGCTTTCCGAAAATTGTTGCTTTCCTATCATGCGTTCTCCAGCCAGCATAACCAGAACGCTGGATATCTGGCCGGTTCTTGGGCAGCTCAATTGAGATGTTTCCGTAGAACTTCGCATGTCCATGTAAGTTTTCTGAAGGCTTCACCGAGGCGGAGTCCACAGGAGGGACGTAATCAAAATGGGAGGTGGAAAAACCGCCAATGTCCTTGTCCGACATGATTTTGCACGTCTGGATGGATTCTGGCTCATGGAAGGTGGCGAGGGGAAAAGGTTTGGTGGCGCGCTTGACGGCCTCGCCGCTCAATGCTGTATCAAGATGCTTCCGTCAGTGATGGGTGCATCCACAGAAGTTGGGGAAAACGTACCGAACAAAGCCTGTCTCTTGAATTCATCCACACTGCGCCCAATAAAGCCTCGGAACAGGGTTTGCGTGAGCTTCATTGTCTTATCAAGTAATTCCAAAGTTCTGAGATGCCAAAGAAGTATGGTGGATGAGTACCGATACCCATATCTGCACTCCCAAGTACCGAGCAGTGTGGTTTACGGAGAAGAGTGAACTTTAGCCTCGTGCAAGCATTGCCTGCACCAAGATCATAGCGCCACCTGCCGCCAACCTTATTTCAACGACGTCGACCTCGGCCGACGTCCAACCAACTTATGATCCTTTTTTTCTTCCACGCTTCACTGTCACTAGAGCAACGTCAACATGAACCCACAGCAGCCCCAATTGAAAATGCCACTCGTCCATTGATTACTCCGTCGTGATGACAGCTTTCAATATTGCGGTCTCCTTGAGCAGCGTTTCTTTTTCGTCTTCATTGCAGCCGGATTGATGCCTGCGGTTTGGGGCTTCCACATTTCGAGAGCTTCCATGGCACCAATACTGTTCATCGGGGAAATATAATGCGACTTGCTCCCTACAGCCATCCTACAGCGCCTGCAGGTACTGAAAACTTGGTATCGTGCCACAGGACTGTTCTATACCAGCTATATGCAATAAATATGCGCCATGCAATGGAGAGGCAATTTGGCACTGGAGTCTATGGTTGTTGTACAGTACACTTCAGCCGTTGCTCTGCCTACGTCTGCCCACCTGTGTCCGTCAAGTAATCGAGTATCAGAAATCATGATCTGAGTATTACTCGAGTGGTGATCAAGACGGGCAGGTGGCTGCAGAGCAGTGACTGAATCTACAACTCCTTTGGCAGCTCATAACCTAAGCCTAAATGAGTACTAGAACTCGAGTACTCGACCCTATGCCTCAATCATATGCTAGATGTCCAATCACTCTAATCGTTCTCAAGGTATCGTTGGCTGTTGCCAATACTGTCATTCACGATGAGAAGAATTACGCTGTGACATTCCACCCCTTTCTACATATGTATCTAAATAACGCATGTGTTGTTGAAACATTTATGTTTATATATGGTTTACATGTTTCAAGAAGACAAAAGTTCATCGAGATTTTTTGCTTGTGCTTGGAAACGCTGGCCACATTCTTTCGGCTATAACAGCTTGATATCCTTGCTGAATGCGCCAAAGGACTGGAGAGGGAAAACCCCGTTGTAGCTAGGGCGGTAAATATCATCGAAAGATGATAAGAGGTCTTTTTGACTCAATGCAAGCGTATTGAATCTGCAGTCGTAGGAACCTTCATCCGCAAATTCCGCAAAGAGGCATCAAGTGTCAGAAAACCCCTGTATTGGAACGATATACCGCCGTATACTTGCGAGATTCCAAGTTGGAATGAAAAAGCTTGGGATAGTTGTCTGCTCATGTATTATGATAAAGGCTCCAAGAGTTACCGGCTGTAGGTATGACTTTGATAAAGCATATAGCCGGGTTGTTGGTGACATGGCCAAATGGCAAAGGCAAAGACGAGGACGGAGACGAAGGCAAAGGTCCAGACATAGATAGTGATCGATTGGAAAGAAAGAAAGATATGCATATGGATGCCGACACGCCGGCCTCAGAGAACTGCAACCTTCTGGGGAGGTGGGTATCTTTGCTTCACTACATCTCCTCAGCCCAGAGACTACCTGTGGCTACCTATGGCTATTTCTACGCGTGCTGTTAGCGCGTTTTCCGAATTCTGCGTGGCGGGGTGGTGGGTGGTGGGTGGTGGTAACAAAGGGGGCCGGTGGCCTCTCGGCCGCTCCTTCCTCTCTTCTTCCTCCTTCCATCCCAACCCCCCATCCCGCAACGCCGCTGTCACCTCAAGCCCGTTCCCTCGAAAACAGACAACTCGTGCCGTCAGGGTAACCTACGTGGTCGTCGAAGATCCAAGAAAAGATACGTCGATACCCGACCTGTCTCCATTCGTTGGTCTTCTTCTTCGTCGTCGTCATCTCTACACGACACAACACGTTTTCCTGGTCTTTTCGAGGCTCCCTACCCATTCTACCTACTCTACCCACTCTACCACTACCTCCATCTCCATCTCTCTCTTCCTCTCCCCACCTCTTCTCCCATCCATTCCCGCGTCCCATTCTACCCACACCATCCCCATCCCCGTCCCACGCCGTACCAACGCCGCGAGACGACTACTCTACGCCATGTCTGCCAGAGCTTCTGCCGCAATGAGCGTTGCCAACGACGAGGTTGCCTCCCAGGCTTCCGCAACTGAATCTGGTACGTATGATGCGATGCATCTTCCCCTTGATTTCCTTTTCTACCTGCATCTCTCCCAACCTGGAGCGTGCTTTGACCCATATCGCGTACCCAAATACTCCGTCCCGCTTCTCATTCATAACTCATCATGCCACCTCTTCCGCTTCCGCGTTCACCTTCGCTTCCGGCACCTTTTCTTTTCCCTGTGACGCGTTGGGGACGCGTTTCTCTTAGACTCCATGGAAACATTCGATTTCTATCGACGTCCTCTGGCGTTTCTTTCTTTACACGTCGTCTGCCTATGGCCTTTCAACTTCCCATCTACCAGACCTCCTTCGTTCCTCTAACTTACTCTTTACAGGTGGTGTCCCAATCTCCGGCTTCGCAGAGCTCACTTTGGATGATGAGGAGGCCGTCGAAGTCAAATCAACACCCTCGGGTCGTTACTCTGCCAGCAAGACCAAGTCTAAGGGCTATTCGCCAAGTTCTGATCGGTGAGAATTCCTTGTTCTAATCCCCTCGCTCATGGAATGACAGGCTGACAGGCAAAGCTACCGCCCACCTTTCGTTTTGAAAGGCAATCAAGCTTTGGATGATGATCCATTCTCATCGCCGACTCGTCGTGTTGGTTCTCAGGCCGCAGAATCTAACCAACGCACCCCAACTGGCCCCCGTACTAAGCATGGCGCTGCCAAGGAGGACTGGCGAACTGCTTCGAACTCCGACTCTGATGCTGAAATCTCTTCCCCAACCCGTGACAAGGCCGAGAGAAGCACCAAGCGCGGTAACAAGTCTCCAGGACCCAAGAGCTCATTGGTTATCCAGGAGTATGTTTCGGAGAGCCCTGGAAGCGAGTGCGCTGCATATGGTACAATCAATACTGAAAATGCTCAATCTGTCTTTCCCCCATCGTGCTGTGTTTTCGTAGCAAAGTAAGCATTCTCGCCTCTTCTTCAATTACGCCTCACTAATGATTTCCAGTCTTCTTCAATCCGAAAGCGAGGAGAGCCTACAGGTTGCTGTCACACAAGTCTTCCGCGAATTTGGGCCAGTCTACGTCAAGATTCGACGTGACGCCAAGCACATGCCCTTCGCATTTTGCCAGTACACCGTAAGTGATGTGCCCCTAATTTCTGCGATCAAAAGCTAACCGAGACCCAAAGAACCCAGAAGATGCAGAGCGCGCCATTCGGGAAGGTCGAGGAAGCCTCATCAAGGGTCGTCCTTGTAGGTGCGAGAAGGCAAAAGCACATCGTGAGTCATCACCATTCAGCACCCCAGAACGCATTGCTCAAGGCTTCGAAGGCTTGTTTTATGTCGAGCGCAAATATGGTACCGCAGTCTCCCCCAAAGAGGTCCGAGAACTTCTTGAAGGCTTCGGCGCTATCACTGTGTGCTACACGGCCTCAAATGTTGAGCGCAGCTCTCTAAACTTCAACGAGGGTGTGATTGTCGAGTTTGAAATGTACGATGAAGGTCAAGCTGCATTTGCTGTGAGTTTTAAAGAGCCCCCTTCCGGATCCATTGTACTTAAAATCTTGACAATAGGCATTTCGAAACCATGACTTGTACAAGATCCATGCTATTGCCGGTATAGCCTCACCAACCAAGCCGCAGAAGAGTCCAGCAAGTTCCGCGGATCGTGTCTACCTTGAAAACTATGAAAATGACAGATGCTCTATTTTCATTGGAAATCTTCCGGTCGGCACAACCGAGGCACAAGTCACACAACTCTTTGAGCATTATGGTGCCATTGAAAACATCATGCTTCGTGAAGCACAATCAAAATATTCGGGTATGTGTATCTTTCTTTTATCTCCGGATCCATGCTAACTATAGATAGCCCAAGAGAAATTTTGCTTCGCCTTCGTCAAGTTTACCTCCCCCATTTCTGTTACTCGCGCTATTCCTGGCAAGGTGAGTTTGTCCCCAAGAACTCCCAGATGTTGTTTCTCATTAGTGGCAGAATGGCTTCAGCTTCGGTGGCAAGATCCTTCGAGTCTCACAAAAGGACCCCTTTGGTGCAGCTCAGAAGAGTCGTGCTTCGCACAACCGTGAATCTTCCACCGGTTCGTTTCAGTCACCTATTCACCGAAATCGCAATAATTCAACAGCTTCTGCGATGGCACAGATGTCACCAGCCCAGTTTGGCTCTCCATATGGCACCCAATTCAATCCATTTTACGGAACTCCAAGTACCGGTACGCTGTTCACTGATGGTAATGGCCAATTTTACACTAGTCCATCTACAGCTCCGGCATACTCTTCCGGATATGGTGCCACATTTTCTCCCTTCGGATATTCCCTCGCCGGCAGTCCAGCTTACACCACTCAAGCATCGTCGTCAGGCACATCTGGCAGTCCGGGTCATCAACAACCATACTACTCGTTCGGCTACCCATACAATTACGCTGCTAGTGGCATTGCCCCGGCACCGAGTTACGGAATGTACGCACCATCTCAACACGGCTCATCTATTGCGCCCTTGTATCCATCCGACTACTCTCCTGCAACCATGACCGGCAGTCCTAGTACGACTCTAGGCCCAAAGGAGCGTTCATCCACACCGAATTCTGTCAGTCATGCTACAACTGATGAGCTCCGCTAACCTGGTTATGTGTTTGTGGAGTATCATACTTACATGTGACTTGTTCAATTGTATGTCAGTTGCACTTCATCGAGATGTTTTGTTGGATGCGGTTCTTTGATACCCCGGCTGTACTAAGTTTTTCTGTTCTTGTTAAAGCATCTATCTTCACGATGTCAGAAAATCCGTGTAAATGTCTACATTTGATCTTTTATTTCAACTTCTGATAGCTGGTCCCTAGCTCCATGTAATCTTGCTCCGTGGGACAAGATAGACATAGGATAGAGGTCTTCACAGTTACATATACTTGCTCTCGTGTACGTAGATCAGGTAGATAGATTTCAGACAATTGAAATAGTTGCATAATATATCTCGGAAGTGATTTTTGATTTTTGATTGGAGAGTTGCTTATAATTATTAAGAACCATTCTGAACCAAAGTTTTACAGATAATAGTTAGTACGTTTTTCTACTACGATATCGCTTATCTCCTGTACAGCCCCCCGTAACTCTTAACCAGGATTAAGCACCCTCGCGTAGAATTGTTTTAACGTATAATTTCAGGCCAATTCCAGGGTATAAACAAACTAATCAACCACCTCTCAAGTAGTACTTAGGTACTACTTCAGTAACAAAAACGTGACTAGAGTATAAAATAATTAGGAAGTACTATACAAGTAGTAGGATTTAAAAATCCAAGCAGTAATTAAAAAGATTATAATAAGTAGGCTAACCTAGCATTCGGCATTTGTCATTCCATTCCATTCCAAGACCCCTCTATGGAATATTCTATTCTAAATATTATACCTGTTAGAATATTCCATTCTAAAGGGTAGAATATTTAGAATTCTAATTGGAATTCTATGTGACTTATAAAATAGTAGTTCCGGTCCGAGCGACTAATAAGAAGACTAGGTTTAGCCTTAGTATTACCATTTAGATAGTTTAAATAATATATAGAGCAAATATATATAGTACTACTAAGATATACTAAGGGTACGTGCTTATACTAAGAGTGAATAGTCGAATAATTATAGTTTCAGTCCTTACTTTATAACAAGTAGAGCTCTTTTATTAGTTTACAAGTAATATATATATATATACTTTGGAATTCCAAATTCCAAGGCCTTATCCTTTAGAATATTCTATTCTAAATTAGAGAGCCTTTGGAATATTCCACCTTAAAATGGAATCTTGGAATCCTTGGAATCGTATTCCAAGTGCCGAACGCTAGGCTAACCTTCGCTCCTTCCTCCCCGCAACCTCGCCTTCCTCGAAGAATAGTCTTTTTTAACCTATTCCTCCTTCTTACTAACAAGGGTCCCCTAGTCTTTTAAGCTTTTTATTACCTTAAAGTCCCCTTCTTATAACAGCGTGTTCCTGTTCTTAGATATAATATTATCTCCCTCACTAAATAATTGTTCGCTAGGAGCGCTTAACTCGGCTTATTCCGAGTAGGCGGACCGACCCGTATGTATACCTGGGTTACCTAGGGAGCGCTACGGCGACTCGGCCCGGCTTAAACCCGAGCTACTTAAGTACTTAGCGCTAGGTAAGTACTTGAGTTAAGTTAAGTAGAGCTTTTAAGCCCTTAAGTATAGTAGAGTAAGTACTACTACTCTACTTTGTACTCTACTTATTTTATACGCTAGTTAATTCTAATATCTTAATAATACTAAATTATTCAGAAGTTGTTGTTTAATATAATCACTCATTAATATCTAAGTAAGATAACTATTTTAATAATCGGTGAACTCTTTTTCTTATGTATTGACTATACATTACATTTTATATTCTGTTATGAATAACATCATCGCAATTCTTCCCAGTCAACTTTTCAAAAGCCTCTCGATACTTCTCGGCGGTATTTTTCACAACCTCGTCGGGCATAACGACGCTTTGCTTGCCCTTCAAGCCTTCTTTAACCAACCAATCCCGCAAGTATTGTTTGTCGAAGCTCTCTTGCTCCCTTCCAATTCCATATTTGTCTGCTGGCCAAAAACGACTCGAATCGGGGGTCAATACCTCATCCACTAGGACAATCTCATCCGCTTCCTCATCGAGCCCAAATTCAAACTTGGTGTCTGCGATGATAATACCGCGCTCCTTTGCATACTCTCGGGCCGCACTGTAAAGAGCAATAGCAAGCTTTTCAATCTTCTCGGCATACTTTGTACCAACGATCTTTGCTGCTTCAGCTGGGGAAATGTTTTCATCATTCTGTCCGGCTTCTGCTTTTGTACTTGGCGTATAAAGAGCACCTCCTGGAAAGGGTTCTGATTCTCGAAGCCCAGGAACCATTGGAATAGTATGAACGGTGCCTGAGCGCTGGTATTCCTTCCATGCCGAGCCTGTGATGTAACCACGAACAATGGCTTCAATGGGAAATATCTTTAGACGGCGGACTTGCATTGAGCGATTACGAAGTATGACGGTTTGGGAGTCCGGTATCATAGAGGGAAGGGAGAGGGTCAGGAAATGTGTTCGAAGACCTGGGACAAGAGTAGGGAGGACATGGAACCAGTGAGCCGAGAGGAGGTTCAGAAGGGCACCCTTCGCGGGAATTCCCTGGTAAAGATAAGTCAGCTAAGCTGGTAGATAATTGACAAACTCGAAGGAGTGGAGGAGGTAGCTTTGAATCCAAGGGTTGCTTTTCTTACATTCTCCATAATCACATCGTATGCGGAGATCCTGTCGGATGCGACAAAAAGAAGTGTTTTGTCGTCGACATTGTAGAGTTCGCGAACCTTGCCAGTTGCGACTTTTGGTAGAGAGTCGATTGAGAAGGAGGTGATGACATCCATGATGGATGGCGATGGCTACTTGACGAGGTAACTGGTGATGTAGACGAAGGGTGGGCAATGGCAATATCAATATTCGATTTTTGTGTTGTGGTAGCGAGTAGCCCGTAGCCACCGAGTAGTTGACTGAAATAAATTCAGCACTGCGCATGGAGGGGTCTGGTGGGGTCAAATGGAGGGGCACTTGGCTTGGCACAAGCCGGGAAATTCGGATGTCGGGACCGAAATGCGGAGGATGTATGGATACTCGGAGGTACGGAGCGGAGTTAAGGCGGGTCTCTTCACCTTGATTCCAAGGCCGCGACAGGAACGCCCAGCCGCCCTCGCCGCCACTCACCTACTCGGTCACGCTCGATATCGCGTAGGTACGGAGTGGGTACCACGGCATTTACTTACGTACGTACTCGAGTGCTAGTACTGGACGTAGTGCCGCTAGCTGAGGGCTACGATTGGCTCCAAAGTATCTCCCTCACCCGCCCAATCAAAATGGAAGCTACTACTGCTGTGCAGTAAAAATCTTAATCATGCGATCCATGTGTGACTAACGACGCCATCCCATCAATTCAAGTACAAATCTTCAGTCTCCCCCATCGTCCCCCCTTTCATCAGCTCTGACATCGCTTCCACCGACTACTGCCCTGTCACCGCAACCGTGCTGTACCCATACCCGTACCTACTACAGTACCCTCACTTGATCCGAAGTCTGAAGCCTGAAGCCTGAAGCCTGAAGCTTGAATCTTGAAGCCTTTCTCAACATGGGTCAACCCTCTACTCAAGCAAGCAATGCCATCATCTTTCTTACCTATGGTGCTTTTCTGTACGTATTGGGCGTTGCCGTTGCGGGGAAAAAAACACACGAACAAAACGAAGACTCCAATCATCCACACCCGCTAACCACATCCCACAGCGTTCTTGGCTGCTTCATCGCATGGCGTTTGAGACACCAATCTAAGGTACCTAGCTATCCGTGAAGCATACTCAGAGTAGGACATGGTTTAGCTAATGTTGACCCAAGGGTGATTTTCTTGCGAGTAACAGAACTCAGACTGGTCAGAACTTTCACCCAAGCCGAGCCATGTCATCCTCAATTGTTCTTCGCTGACCGTTGCACTTAGCAATCCCCTTGGCTCTGAACTTCATTGCCTCTGGTTAGTATTCGAACAGTCAACCATATGTATCAGCCAGAAAGCGGCAGTCTATGTCATCTTAACCCATCAAGCGCAAAGCAGTAGGATGCTTGTCCTAGAAGTCAGAGAATGTGTTGTGAAGAGGTTCGTGTTCATCTATACCGCTGGCTGTTTCGGGTTATCAGTTGAGATGTCCTCGAGATGCCAACCCCAAACAACCAGCGCGGCTTCACTACGGGCGCCGAGTCGAGACAGACACTAAAAACCCAACTTTCACGCTATTGCGGAGAGAGATTTTTCGGTTTGTCAAGACGAAGCTGAGATTGTACCGTGATACTCGATCAAGTTAATGCTTGCGTGGGAAAGTGTCTGCCGCTTCGATGATCCCTTCCCCCTTCCCCCCGAGTATGATCGCTAACCGAGCCACGTCCTTCTGCAGCGCTCGGATCCGGAATCTTATTTTCTTACCCTCAGCTTGCAACAATCACTGGCGTGCAAGGCGTTATTGTGTACGCTATTAGCTCTGCCGCACCACTATTGGTATTTGCCTACCTTGGGCCAATCATCAGAGCGAAGTGCCCAGATGGGTTTGTGTTGACTGAATGGACAAGGCAACGCTACGGTGTATTCACGGCCATTTATATCAGCTTCTTAACATGTGCTACTATGTTTCTGTACATGATAGCTGAGCTCTCGGCCTTGCAGCAAATCATTCCTGCGTTGACGGGAATGGATGGCCTTCCAATGGTGATCGTTGAATGCGTTGTCACCACTATTTATACATGTAAGACCACTTCTGAATGTAGACCTCCACACTGACTTGGGAAAAAGCTCTGGGAGGATTCAAAATCTCATTCATAACGGATAATATACAAGGTGCCATGGTTATCGGCCTGAGTCAGTTTTCCACATGATGCCACGCGTGTGTGCTTATTTATCTCTAGTCGTTATCGCCACTATTACAATTGGAGTTGAGACAAGGATTGATACTAGTCTGATTGAGCCCTCTGGTTTGACAAAGCCAACTTTGTTGGGTTGGCAGCTACTTTACATCCTTCCAATTGCAATCCTTACCAACGACTTTTTCCTTTCTAACTTCTGGATTCGCGCATTCGCTTCCAAGACCGACAAAGACCTATGGATCGGCGTCTCAATAGCCTCCGTGCTTGTACTTTGTATTTTGATACTAGTCGGTTCCACGGGTTTCATCGCTGTCTGGTCTGGCGCTCTTGATTCAAGCAACATTGAACAAGACGGGAGTGTCGCTTTTTTCTACCTGTTGGAGAAACTTCCAGCGTGGACTGTGGGGATTGTACTTGTGATGGTTGTTTCACTTAGCACTGCCGCATTTGATAGTCTGCAGTCCGCACTGGTCTCTACAGCATCGAACGATCTTGTCCGTAACAAACTTAATATCTGGTGGATCCGTGGGGCTGTGGTTTTACTTATATTCCCCGTTGTCGTTCTGGCACTGAGGGCTCCCAGTATTCTACAGATTTTCCTGATATCTGATCTGTTTTCTGCGTCTTCGATCCCGGTTCTAGTTCTTGGTCTTAGTGACCGATTCTACTGGTGGCGAGGGTTCGAGGTCGTGGTCGGTGGACTAGGTGGAATATTGACCGTATTCATCTTTGGAACGATATATTTTGGCAACGCAAAAGGGGGCGCTAACCTCATCATTCTCGAAGGGGGTCTTTACGCCAACGATTGGAGCGTCTTTGGCGCTTTTGTGGCCGCACCCGTTGGCAGCTTGCTTTGGGGATTTGGGGCTTTCATACTCAGGGTAGCATGTCAATTCGGCATTGCAAAAGTCACTGGTCGTGACTTTAATGCCTTGGATCGACCTAGCCACCTCACAAGACACACTGGGGACAGATCGGAGTACCCTGATAACGACGAGATAGGCAGTGATTCGGGAGTCAATATCGTCAGAGGTGGAAAGTTCTTTTGAGACAGAGAGCAAGCGTTATTATTCAACATAGTAGCTTTCGATCAAAAGACTCAGGTACGAAGATGAACCGAGTTGAAGGGCAGGCTGAAGGGATTTGTTGTTCAAAATTGCGGGGATAGTGCGCTTCAAGCTTGTTCTTGTACTCAAGTAACGCGCTGCAATGGTGGAAGAAGAAGTGTTTAGTTCCAATTTCTCGACTTCATTTTTGCGTTGGACTCGCTAAGCATAATGCATGTTTCGTTGCTTTCTTGAACACTGGTACACTCACTTGCATCTGTGAGGTGAATGGAATCAGAAACCCAATGGTTTGCAGAGTTGTACGGTACCTGTACGGGTACGGAACTCCGTAATCACTACCGCCGATTCACCTCAACTTAAGGTGGCGAGGTTCCTGTGACTCAATGGTTGCAGATGATGGAATGGCCTCCACCTGCAGCTGGTGGGGAACCTTGGAACTTGGAAGCTTGAAGTGTCACAATCACGTGCAATGCTGACGGGATCGCCTGACTCCTGAGGCGCCAACCTTTGCTTGGCCAGTGCCAGAGCCAGGGTGCGACCTTATAGCGCCCTTCTCCCAAGTCGATTGCCCCTCTCTCCCTTTCTTTCCACAACACACCCACTGGACCTCTTCAACCTCTTGACAAGCCAACCCAACTTTCGTCCTCGCGGCCAATCTCCACTCTTCCACAACCCTCTCACGAGCAGCATCTGCCACCCGCGACCAGTTCTCGCACCACTTTCCTGACCTCACTAAAACAACACCAGCCCCAGGAACCCACGAACACTCGAGTTTATGTCAATCGAAAATCTCAAGACCTTCGGTAAGTCTGCCATCTGCCATCCCATCCCAATCCGTCCAGCATCAGGCATGGCTTCCTTATGCCTGCACACCTCGATAGACCGCGAAGCCACCTGCTGCTGGTCTCCTTGCCGCCCGCTTCGCTTCGCTTTGCTACGTCAGGTCTTATCGCAGGAAAACCAGCTAACCTTTGCGTGATACAGACCCCTTCGCCGAAGCCGACGAAGATACTGGTGAGACGAAGCAGTCGCAGAACTACATACACATTCGTATTCAGCGTAAGATTCCTGCCCTTTCTCTTCGCGCACCAGCCCCGCGTTTGTATGATCGCGATGAGTGTGCTGACTTGCACTTCCACCCATAGAGCGCAATGGTCGTAAGACTTTGACAACAGTCCAAGGTCTCCCCAAGAAATTTGATCAAAAGAAGATTCTTAAAGTCATCAAGAAGAAGTTTGGTACGCTTATTTCCCGTTTGTTTTCATGCTCCCAGCTCAGTATGACCCTCCTATCTGCCTTTCAAGCTAACATTCGCCTAAGCCTGCAATGGCACTATTGTCGTCGACAGCGAGATGGGAGAGGTGATTCAACTCCAGGGTGACCAGCGAAAGGATGTACAAGAGTTCCTCACCGATAAAAAAGAAGGACTTGAACTAGATGCCAAGACCATTAAGGTAGACTCCCCTGTTCCTTTCAACGCTACCCCCGTTTAACCAAAATCTACAGGTCCACGGTTTTTAAGATCGTCGAAATTTGTCCCTCCAGACCTTCATCATGAGGACCCTCGGATAGAAGTCTCTTGTAGCAAGCATTCCTCACGCTCAACTTCTTGCCCCGCCTCAAAAATGTCGAATGGCTTGGGTCGACCTACGGCACGGTTCGATATCTGGGGCGTTCGATTGATACCCGCATTCTTCACAGAAAGCAATGGATAGCCTGTGTAGGCTTGGAGAAATGATGACGGAATTGCTATCTTGCATTCACTCTTACATGTGTATTTGAAGGATTCTTTCTCTCTTTGTGCTCCATACATAGGACTAGACGATGAGTATGGATTCTGACAATTCAAGAAATACACTTTACGATTTGACTCTTGCTGATCGTTGTCACCCTGTCCAGTAAGATTTGTTTGTGCGACTTGTGATTTTTGATACTCGTGTTGAATAACAACCATTTTTCAGCATGTTTTACAGCCTTGGGCATTTCTGACGAAATCATGTTCTTACTTGTACTTCTACTAATTCTTGATCTGAAGTAAAACGCAAGAAACGTGTTATCTGACTGGCATGGTTTGCCGTGGTCCACTAAACAAGCCCTATTACTAATCTAGCTAGAAATTACGAGCAGTGTATTATGCAGACGACAACTGCGAAGGGAGCAATTCAATAATCATTTTAAGCTTAGATAAAAAATCATATGGTAAAATCATGCTCTGGATGATCTACACTTAGCGTTTTAAACTTTTGGGTCTTAGCTACAATTCCCTCCCTACCATTCCAATCATATCAACACCTAACTTTGCATACTTCCAAGATTGACGAATAATCATGAAGAGAGGGACAGGTGGGTCATTGGCGCGGGTGAGATGTAGTTGTAATAGGAGAGAGACCATGCTTATGAAACTTGCAATGCTGAAAACGGAAATAGAGAGAGAGGTTTCCTTTAATATGGCTAGGCGTGGGTGTGTCAGGTGGTAGAGGAATGTTAGCGTCTAGAATAAAAGTTAGTGGAAAACATGAAAGTAGACTGTAGGGTATAGGATGATTGGGTGCGCAAGGGGGAAGAAAGAGAGATGATATAGCAGATGAGCAGCGATGAGGAGAAAATTCTAACACTGGCTATGCTTATCCAAGCTGGCAATAGTAATCTAGGGTCCTTTGAGCCGCCTGAGAGGTAGAGGACCCACGAGGTTATGTAGGCGTTGAGAGCATTTATTGTGAGCAGTCGCACAAGTGTCGCCTGAGGTGTATAATTTAGGAGCCTAGTTGGAAGAGATGAGCGAGGTGTCTGTGGTAGACTGAGTGAGGCACAAGAAAAGGCAACAAACCAGCGAGACATAAGGCAGTCTGTAAAATAGAAGGAAAGATAGGCTGAGGCACAACACTTTTCATAAAGCAGTTAGCCTTTCCATTAACTCAGTTTCGCGAACTCCATCAGCCTCTACATGGACATGGACATGGAAATGGACATGAACGCATGGTCCGTGGATGGAGGAGATATTGAAATCTGGCACATCATCCAAGGGATTGGAAATTTACGTAACCACATACCCAGAGTACAGCCAAAAACACTTCCGTAACCCTGAATCGTCGTTCTACACTCCAAGCACCGTCCACAACGCCCACTTCCTCATCCAGCAACAATTCCCCCATAAAAGTCAATGCACATCGCAAGCCCCACCATGCGGCTGGCGCTGTACTTAGAGCGCGACATAGCAGCAGAGGGAAATGCCAATGCTTCTCCACACCGAGTAGTACAGCCACTCGAGGGTGAAGGACGCTATCTTTTCTTTCAGGGTCAGCGGGATGGAGGTTCGGCGGCGAGGTCGGAATCAGTGGTGTATACGTTGGAGGGCGAGCAGACGACGATCTGATGGGAGAGAGTGGCTGTTGCTGTTGTTGTTGCTGTTGTTGTTGGGCCTGTAGCTGAAGCCGAAGCCGCAGCTGTTGGTGGTGGGGGGAAAGGGAGGTTGACGGAGGAGTTGATGCTGGAGAGCGCCGCTGAGAAGGGGAAGCCAGTCTGCGGGCTAGTTAGGGCATGTGCTGCCGCATTGCAATGGGGATGGTGGGAGGCGATGAATAGAGGGGGGGCCTGAGCCTGAGCCTGGGCCTGAACCTGAAACCGAGCTTGGTGAGGGGCACGACGAGGAAGAGGTACTGGTGGTGGTGGTGGTGGTGAGTGTATGTGCACCAGTGTGTAGGTGTACTTGAGTAGAGAGTGGTCGTTGCCTACACTCGAGTACTTGGCGAGGGGTTCTTTGGCGGTGCCGCAGCATTGAGTTTCCCCAGATTTCAAGGCTTGGCATCGCCTGTCAGTACCCAAATAGCCAAATACAACCCTGCACAAAAAAAAGTACAGTAAGTCCAGCCAGTGAGCCAGGTCGAGCAACACAACGCCCCGCCAGCTCCAGCTTCAACATCACCACTAGCTCCAGCTTGCCTTGAGCAATCTGGCGATGGCACAATTTTTCTTTCGACCCTTCTCCTTCTCCCTCGCCGTCGCCTGTAGAACGAGAACAGCAACGAGGCCGCCGCAAAGATGTTTCTCCCAATCGTTACGTGCACCGACTGGAAGGCCAGGAATGAAAGAGGTGATGCCTACGCCCAAAATGAAGAGTGATGCTAGCGTGCAAAGCGCTCAAGCTTCGCCAGACATTTCGCGCATTGAGTCTCATCCTTTTGAGCTGCTGCCTGGTAATGATTCCCACGCTGCTCGTGGCTCTTGAAGTACTAAAATCATTTCCTTAATAGCCACATACATCCCACCTCCCTTCTTCAGGAAACCCGACTCTCTCAAACTCAAATCCATACTCCATTATCTAAAGGTGCAGACTGTTCGCCGGGCATGGACATCGTTTCAGGACTTTCTACTCGTACTCAAATCACATTACACGTCACCCTCCATGGAGCCCAATCCGGGATATTTCAAGTCTATCTTTGGCGAGAGACCCTTCAAAATCCGGCCAACGGATATGGTAAAGGTGGCTAAGGATTTGCATAAGGAAATGTACGAGAGTCTTGCTAAGCGGGATATCAGTACCATAAAGCAGATTTGTGTGCCCGGACTCGCGACCTCGTTGCGAGCAAGAATAGCTTCCAGGCCAAGGGGTGAGAAGATGATGTGGGAATTATTGAGTTACAATAGACCCCGCGCAAAGCTGGTCAGTCATCGCGCATTCACACTTCCTGGGCCTGATGGGACGGCGATTAGACAGGCGGTTGTGAGGATTGCCTCAACACAACGATTGACGAGAAAGAACAAGGAGGGTCAGTCTATAGAGGGGAGCGGGAAAAGGGCTTATCTGGTGGAGTATGTATGTATTCAGGCGCTGTCGCTTGGTTGGGAAGAGCGTCCTTGGAGGATTTGGGGAACCGTTCAACCCACGTCTGAAGAAGCCATGGATCTAATGAAGACTTCTGGCGAAATAGCGGATTGGGTGTAGGGAATGCGGGGGTTTCGCCTTGATGGCTGTCCAATTGTAAATTATGTGCATATACAGTACCTGTGATGATGCTAGCTACGGTACCTGTAATCTTTAGAGTTCTGGTCTTCACTGAATAGAAGCACCACTATGCGACTACTGGAGTTGGCAGATTTTGTTGGCGGTCCTTGTAACGTCTCCTGTAAGGAATCGTCCCCAGCTAGTCCAAAGCCTCCTGATGGATATTTTATTTTCCGCCTGAATATGCTTCAAGGCACTCAAAAGTACCCATTTGTGTTGAACTCCTGTCAATGCCCTCCGGACAACACCTGCTTGGCCCATTTGCCCCTATTCCCATCAATTATTTGTACAAATTATACAAGCTTGGCCCCGGTTATCTTCTCAATCTATGGCATTTACGCAACTGGCACAGCTGAAGGGGCTTCTGTTCCGGTACCCATCTTCGCGCCCGTTGGCGGCATAAAAACGGGTAGGTATGTGACAACAAGAGACATGACTATAGTATATTCCTCGTCAACGCTTGTGTCGATAATTTTACCACAGGGAAATAACTTACAAGCCATCCCGACCGATAAATATGCTGGCTGAGTAGATGCTTTCTTCGATTCCTGACTCTCCCCTAGCCAGTTCTGGACAGCCAACACCACTGCAGCCCTAGATCGCTGCCTGTCAGCGCCCACTTCCACAGAAAGTTTGACCGGCACCGGTGGCTGTTCAGACTGACCATCCGATGAACTTGTTGCGCGTAAACATGGCTACCATTGGTAGGGTGCTTCCTAGTGTGCTGCTGATATCGCTGGGAGAATCCTTTGCGACAGGCGCTTGGTAGGGAATCACTATCAGAGTTAGATTGTGTAGATGTGAAGCATGAAATTCGTCATACCAAGGTCAGGCCTCCGCATATCTTTCTTGTTAGACATATTGGCGATAGATGGGTGGGAGTGGTGTTGTCAAGAAGTTCAATCATAGAGGTATCCGCGACTTTGCCCAGCAAACCAGGGTGGGTGGTGTTGGCATGAGGTGACGGGCCGAGGGTCGGGGCGAGATCGGGGAGCTGGAACCAAAACTGGCAAAAAGGCAGCGATTGGAATGCTGAAGACCTTGAAGATCCTGACTAGCTCAACTAGGTAGGTAGTATATGACGGGACGGGAACGCTGAGATAAGTTAACATGTTGGTACGTTTAGGTCCTGGGGTGGAAAGGAGGGTAATCACGTGAAACTGTCTTAGATAGTATAGTATTTATCTCAGCCCTCAGCCGCTGGTCACAGGCCGATTTTCCCCCGCCCCGTTCCGACCCCGCTCCACTCCGAGCATTTCCAGCCAATCACATCCCACCCCCCGAAACGGCCATCCAGCGTCTGAGGGAAAATGGGGATTATTTGGGTGACAGGCTCTAAATCAACCCTCGTAAAGCGACTACATAGACCCCTTATTTGTACGCAACAGTTTGTATCCGCCACAACACCGATTATCGCGATTTTAAGTGCAAATTAAAGCCCTTCAATTAAAGTATCAGACTAGGCGTACCGCATATAAATCGGACCTATATTGCATTTGATGCACGCTTGCAAAGTGGGTGCGATATGCAGGGCATATGCGGCTCGGTGAGGCTCAAATGCGTACATACGAGCTTGTCCCCGCAACAACGTAATGCGCCACGGTCGCATTTTGCTCGCAGATGCGCATTACATAGAGCTAATTAAGCGCTATCTTTTGAGCCTATATAGAAGTTGGTAGGAATATATTTGACCTTGATGCACCTGTTTTTACGGAGGTACGGTGCGCAGGTGGGAGCCTTGGCACTACGCGTCTCACTTTGTACGTACTTACCTAGGAGTAAACACTTCGAAATAACTCAACAACCCACGGTCGTATTCGACTCGCGGATGAGTATTTTGTACAGCTAAGGAAGGGCTTTCTTTTGAGCCTATATAAGTCTTGATACGTGTAGAATTGGCCCTAATGCACCTGTTTTCGAGGTGGTAAAATCGCGTTCATCGCTTAGTTTAAAAGGGCCTTTTGCTCTTCGTAAACTATTCTACAACCACACCACTTATTAAGGCCTAGCTAGCTAGGTTTTATAGACCTAAATGCGCTCTACAAAGTGACAAGAGCTTATTATAATAGGACGTAGATTGGTGGAATAGTTGACAAAGAGCTACAGGCCAAATTCCATTTCGAGAAAGTAAAAATGGCCACTTTTGGCTTTGACGTAACAGTTTGGAATATACACTCCTAGGTAGACTATAAAAATAATATAGATACATAATTTAATATCGAGAGTACTGGCCTAGGTGTACCCGAATGCTATATCTATTAGATTAGTGGACTATTAGAGGCTCGAAATCTTCATCAAAAAGTTGATTTAGAGGCCGTGGCCCAGAGGATCACCATTTTCCCTCAGACCCTCAAATAAAGGCTAGTCGTGGTGGTGGGTGGCTTGGTGGCGTCGTGGGCGGGCCGGGCGTCGGCTGCGGGCCTGGGTGGTCGGGGTGGGGGCGGGTGAATCACGTG